AACATTAAAAATTAATAAAATCACCTTGTATAGCAGTCATTTTTAAATAATATGTCCACTTTAACAGAAAACAAACTTACAATATTACAAACGTTAATAAATAAACAAAAAGATGAGGTTATGTGCCCCTTCTACGCATGCGTCTAATTTTATTATCAACAGTTCTTGCTCTCGAGCAAGAATCGTTTGAACCGTAATTTAACTGTTCGTAACTCTGGTTGGAACTACGAACTGACAGTAATTGCCAGTTCTAAACTAGTAATTTTAGTTGGTTGGAACGACATTTTACAAACGCGCATGTGTATCAGTAATATTACTGGAAATTACTGCTGGTTGGAATGAACCTATTATTTCTATGATTCTCACACTCCCAACTTGTTTTTGAGGTTAGGAATTTTAAATCTTAGGAAAAAAGACTAAAATCGTTATGAAATGTTAAATTTTGTCAAGCGGAATCTAAAGTGGTATTTACCTAGATAGTTATAAGCTCTTTTCCCTTCAAAACTACAGGATGCCTTTGACGCAATGACGGATTTAAGCGTGAAATAGAATGATTCGCAAATACGCGACCTCCATCTCAGAACCCCAAGGATCGGGCTTGGGCGGCCGTCCTACGACGCGAGTTCATTGTTATAAGGAAGAAGAAGAAGAACCCCAAGGACCTTGGGCCAAGGTCAAAAGGGACAAACACACAACCAGAGACTTGTCTCTGCACAGAAAAACGAAACATATTAATATTATAATAATAATAATATAATAATGTATTTATTAGCCCAACAGAAAATCCAATAACAGGACAATATTCAATAAAAATATGTAATAACATTAAATACCTAAAAATTGTTGCTTTGTATGTAACTGAAACAAACAATTTGTAAAGCAGACACATCGAACAGGTATAAATATCACATAAATTACAGATTAAATTAAAGTAACTTGTAATGACATTGTGAGAATTTAAAGAAACATTAGATTTTGACATATTATTTAGCTATGCGATGGCGTGAGTTTATTCTGGGTATATAAAAGTTAAGCATTGACAAGAGAGTTGGTGAATCGATTAGATTGTGTAATAATTTATGCAGAAAAACTTGACCAAATATAAATCGCCTATCTTTAAGAGAAAGCAAATTAAATATTGATAGCAAGTGTTCCTACTCAATACCTCTCTGAGGGTATACTCCATCTAATCTATACGACAAGTATTTTAAAAAACGTCTCTGTACATTCTAAAATTTTATCAATGTATACATTGTAATAAGGATAAAAAACTAGAGATGCATATTCGAGTCTAGACCTAACGAGTGAGCAATATAACATTTTGTATGTATGAAAATGATAACTGTGAATCGAAAATGATTCCAAGGTCGTACTAAATGAACAAATTTTGATTTTTTTTTACATTTATTGTTAAATTGTTGTTTCTGCACCAGTCGTTAATATGTTTTAATTCAGTTTGTAGTTTTTTTGCAATCTTCGATGTCATTAATAATCCGATAGACTTTGAGGTCATCAGCAAATAAAAGATGTTCAGAGTTGGAACCCTGAGGAACACCGGAACTTGCAATATAATTATTTGATTTAAAGCCGTATAATGATAAAGGATCGCTGATTAAATTCGATAAATTTTGTTTAAAAAAATCCATTGATCCATTGAATTATTAATCTATCTTAATTATTTTAAAACCAAATATTGAATATTGCACGTCGATTCTTCGTCGAAATAACGTATAAAAATAACAATTATTGTTTTTAAAAATATTTTAAAACTTTTTGCCGGCACATTAAAACGGGCCAACTGTTTCTTATTAATTATCACTATATTTTCATATTTTCTTAAAAATCTCGTCATCTGTTCACGTGATGATGACGTCATTTATTGGTTATCATCGACCTAAGTTAATAATTGGTCGTGTTTTGGTGAATTTTGAGACGTCGAAAAATGGTTGAAATGTAACTTCGACCAAATTCGACCCAATTCGTCGACGATTCTACGTGATATCTACGTCCCTGTGTTGCCTGGGTGAGACAGGTTGTTAATGAATATGTTAAATAACAGAGGTCCTAAGTTGGAACCCTGAGGAACACCGGAACTTGCAATATAATTATTTGATTTAAAGCCGTTACCCAGGCAACACAGTGACGTGAATATCACGTTTAATTTACGTCTACGGTGACGTCGAAGTCACCAACTTAGAAACGTCTTATCGTCGTAAAATTGACGACAATATGTCACAGCGATTTCACGTGTAAAATCACGTAATAATACGTAATTATTTACGTAATAATCACGTACTATTTCTTGAATAATATATGATTAGGTCATACACTGATAAAAATAATTACCGATACTGATATCAGATATTTCAATGCGAAATGTGCTTTTGTCAAAATTAAAAAAACAAAAAATTTTTAATTGTACTTTTGAATTTTAAGAAATAAATAGGTAAACCCTACTATATATAGTATATATATACTACTATAGTAGATATATATTTAGTAAATAATTAATACTCAAAATAAATGTATGTAAAAAAGTAGAATAACAAAAAAAAATTGTTAGTTAATCTTTGCAGAAACACATACATATGTCTGGCATTAAAATATCGGATATAAGAATAAATAATTATTTTTACTAGTGCATAAAGGGCTTTTGGTTTAATAATTAATAAAACATGTTTTAAGTTGCTCAAAACATTTATTATAAAATCAAACACATTAAATTTTAAGACAGATGACAGGTCAATATTTTAGGAGCTTATGTAGGTACTTCATTTAGGTGTTATGACTTCGTTACGGAATATACTGAGTAATTAAAACATTAATAAACAAACAAAAATTGACCTACCTTACACAGCCAAAGTATTATCAGTATAAATGGTTTGTTCTTTGTATAAATACCACAGATTATAAAAGTTGGACGCTTGAATCAACCATATTGGGTCAAAATCACCAAGGTGGAAAATTAGCAGTGCCAGCAAATAAATGACTAAATTCAGTTTTTCTTTAACAAATCAAGTTTTGTAAATACTGAACTGTGTTTACGTTAACTATACCTAATATAATATAGTTCAAAAGTAAACCATATTCATTATTATTTATATAAATAAGTACAAAAAATCATTTCGAGAACGCGTCCTAAGTAGCAATCTTTAGAAACAAACACCTGAAATAATCATAAAATAAAATAAATTTAACAGTTTTTCTTACTTATTCAATTCAATTTAATCTAATATCACGTAATTACAAGCATTATTAAAGAAAAAAAAAAGAAATGAAAGAAAATCAAGTCAAAATATTATGTCCAACAATGTAAGCATCATTTGAGTGAACGCTGTTTTGATTGTCCAAAAAAAATTACGTTTTTGAACGCAGCCGTAATATGTGTATGGCACAGTTGTAGTGAAAGATGTAAACAACGTGGATGTCAAGTGAATTTTTCGCCAAAATAATTAAAAATAAGTGGTAAGTACCATTCGATCCCATAATTAAAGAGCGTACATAAATATATCATCATACCGGGAATGCGTTTATTAACTCGTAATATTGAAAAAATACGTTTTATAATGTTTATAACAAATATTAACCTTAAATAATATACCTTAAACAAGCCAAACATGGCTGTCAAGATAACTTTCGTCTAAAAAGGGCGAGTTTATTTGAAAAAGTCATTTTGGGAACGGTCATTTCGGGAACGTCCCCGGACTTGACGGAGCGTTCTTGAAATGACTGTTATTACTTTTTGTCAATTAATTTAGTGTATGTTGTCCTAAATAGTTTTAAATAAATGTTTTATTTTTATAGCAAATATGGAATCTCATGAAGTTAAAAAAAATTAAAAACGTCCAAAAAGACAACTTATAAAAAATAGTTTAGCTTACATGCGGCAAACAGAAAAAGCCAGAAAAAGGAAGTTTTTAGATAAGATAACAGAGGAAGAGATATACATTAAAAGGGGTAAGGATAGAGCATACTATCAGAAAAAAAAGCTGAAAGAAAGTTAAAAACATTGCTGAGATGACCGAGAGAAAAAAGCGAAAGCAGAGAAATATTTGGAAAGAAGCATAAAAAATACAGAGAAAAGAATACAGCATTATTAAGTTTAGTAAACAATACTCCGCCAAATTCCGATGATAATTTAGCTGCAACACCTTCAGTAAGAAAAACAGTGGGAAGAAAAATTGTGCGGAAGGATAGAGCTAAGTATACCGTAAAAAAAACAACAGAAGAAAATAATTGCTAAAATTAAACGTAAATATGAAACTTTAAAGAAAAGACTAAGAAGAAAAGAAAAAAGAGAAAAGATAAAGCTCGGGTACCTACAACTCCTAACAGCAAAGTGTTTTTGAGGAAAAAACTGTAAAAGGCGAGAATAAGACATTCACAAACAAGGTTGCAATTTCAAGTACAGTCAAAGAATTAAAAATGGATTTTATTGAAGATAGTCCAGTTAAGAAAAAAAATCTCTATGCAGTGATGGGCACGTACCCGGTATATACCCGATTTATTAAATCTATGTACCAGTGGTGAGCACTATTGTAAACTTTGAACTATCAACTATCGATAGTGCTCATCACTAGTATATAGTACATACCTTGGGTATTTTACAAATATTAAATCGGGTAAATACCGGGTACGTGCACAATGTGCACATCACTGTCTGTATGGCATTTATAGTTACAACAAACGGAAAAAAGAGTTGAAAGAAAATTTAACTGAAGAAGAGGTAGGTAATGATACAAATAAACTTGTCAGTACGCAAATAAAATCTATTCATACAGGCGTATATTATATACGAAACGTTGACAATGGTTTGCAATCTGGATCTTTTGCTAGGTGAGTAAAAATTTGTATCATAAAGCCCATGCGATATGGGCTCATATGAAACCGATCCTAAAACTATATTGGAAAAAAATATATTAACATCCTTCATATCTACTCGATAATCCAACATCACAATACCGCAACCGAACGAATAAACATCTTTGAAAGAACTGAAAATGTCTGCATTATCTGGCAGTTTATATCCGAACTCTGAACCAATAAATTTGGGAATACTTTCAACAGAGTCTCCTGAACCGAACGAGCATATGGATACAACTGATTTACAAGATTTGCTGAAATTAAAGAAACGGAGCATTTATAAAACCATTTATTACTCATCATCGTCCGATGAGGATGATTTAATGTTTGTTTCTTTTTTATTATTATATATTTTTGATGTTTAATAATTATGATTACGAAAGCTTGTTTTTGTTTAAAAGTTCAATTTAAATATAGGTACATGTTTAATTGGTTTAATTATAAACATTGAGATAAAAGTTTAATATGATTATTAAGAATTGTACTTGGCTGTGTACATCGATTAAAAGACTGCAAAGAAGTAATTAAAGTTACATTTTTGTTAAGAATAAACCTCATGCCAAATAAATAAATAGGTACGGCATCAAAAAATTTTGCTTATGATTTCATAAACCTAAAGTGTATCTATATCATCATTCAGAGAACACACCCATCATTCCGTGAACTCCTTATCATTTCCGGGAACATAACAAAAATCACAGATAACACATTATTATTTTAGATATTAACAAAAGGCCTTGGAAATATTAAAACAGGCGGACTTCTTATACCTAGAGCTAGTTTATTTATATGTATGTCAGCGATATTGGCATATTTAGTTAATTTAATTCAAAAAAATAGTCCCATAGGTTCATTTGTAGGGATATTTTGTTTTTAAATGATTTTATTTGCAACTTTCTTAGAGTTTTTTAATTTCTTATTATTAGCTACATACTTCCGCTATTGTAAAGCGTAAAAAAGAAATACTAAGTTATATTTTAATTTTATTATAAACCTTACAAAAACGTTCCCGGAATGATTGTTTTTAGCGATAGTTCACTTTAAAAATAAAATTACAAGAGAAGCAATTAATTCTATGCTCGGCCAACGTAAATATTGTTTAAACACAAGTTTAGTGATCATTTAAGCTAATTAGCAAAGTAATAGCTGCTAGGTGTATTCATCGTAAAACATAATTTGAAATTTGCCACCTTGGTGATTTTGACCCTATTGTTTTTTAGGAATAAACGTTCCCTCGCTTTGTAGTGTCAAAGAGAAACAGGGTTGCCAGGTGTAAAAATTAATATTATCGAAGAGGGTTGACAAAATGATCAAATTTACAGAAAATTATATAAAATTATCAAAACAAAAATTGTATAAAAACAAGCAAAACTACGCGGCGGATTAAATTATGTTACAATTATCGATTATTATTTAAATTTTACTATTTTAAAAAAGAAAATTATAAAACATCTGGCAACACTGTAGATAAATAATTTTACTAAAATTAAAATTGTGATTGTCAACTGCAGTAACATGTTAATTTCTTATTTTGTGATGAAATGATAAAGGATTTAAAAATCGCGAATTTGTTTTAAAAAATCCATTAATGGATCAATAATTATTAATCTATCTTAATTAGTTTAAAACCACGTTGATTCTCCGTCGAAATAACTTAAATTAAATAAAAATAATAATTTTTGTTTTTAAAAATATTCCAAAACTTTTTGTCGGCCCATTAAAACGGGCCAACTGTTTCTTATTAATTATCACTATATTTTCATATTTTCTTAAAAATTTCTTCATCTGTTCACGTGATAATGACGTCATTTATTGGTTATCATCGACCTAAGTTAATAATTGGTCGTGTTTTGGTGAATTTTGAGACGTCGAAAAATGGTTGAAATGTAACTTCGACCAAATTCGACCCAATTCGTCGACGATTCTACGTGATTTCTACGACCCTGTGTTGCCTGGGTATAGAATACATACTGAGACCACAGGTCTGTGACTGAGACCTATTTTGAAGATATGAACCGAAGTAAGATGGAATGATCAACTCGATCGAATGCCTTTGAGAAATCCGTATACACTACATCAACCTGTCCTCTATTATCGAAAGTTTTAGTGATAAATTCTTTAAATATTGACAGGGTAGGAACGGTAGATCGTCCAGACATAAAACTATGTTGATAAATAGATGTGATGTTTTTTGTTCGACTAAATAGGTGAGTGTATACGGACGATTCAAATACCTTTGAAAATTTGTTGAGAATAGATATAGGTCGTTAATTTGATATAGGTATTACTTCTATTTTGTATCACCCGATTTCAATACCGGTCCCACAATCCAATGTGTGGATTGTGACCGGACCTACTTGAGTACTCGAGTTAAGAGAACGCTTCTCATAGGAAAAGTGGGCATTTCTCTTAAGTTTTGACAGGCTGCATTATTGAATTTAAGATAAGTTAGTGCGTTCTTCTCTCGGAAACTCTTTTCTGCTTTAGGAAAACCAAACTATTGCATGATTTTAAGAATGCAGCCTGTCAAAACTTAAGTGAAACACGCCCACTTCTCATGAGAATAGCGTTCTCTCAACTCGAGAATCGCACCCCTGAGGGTTGGATAATGAAATGTTTTAAGAATGGAGTTGATGATAGAAACAGTGTTGCCAATTCTATGAAAAGCTTCCCCACCAAAATGCACTTACTAAACCGCCAGATAACCGCCAAATTTGATATGGCCAAAAACCGCCAAATAAATCATAGAGATTGTCTCTGCTTTAATGTTTGTCTCTGTCATCTGTCATTGTCAAATGGGGTAGTTAAATTTTTTCTGACCTATACTTTTTATGGTTTTATTCAAGGCGTTTTGTAATATTAAACATTTCTGTGAAATCAGAATTTCAATTGAGTTTACCGTTTTCGAGATATTTACAAAAAATATAAATTTTTATGACGTCACAAACCCCGCCATGTGACCAACATTCTAAGATTTCTATTGGTTGAAAATTACCCTGTTGTCAAGTTGTCTTGTTAATGATTTCATTCGGTTATGTCAGAAAATACCCGAAGAGGTTATGTACAAATACTGTCACTGTCAGTTGAGTGAAAGAAGAAGAGGAGGTTAAAGAAAATTCTGAAATTAAAAGTTTTATTGATAGGTTTACACATTGAAACACCGTATGAAACCTAATAAAATGTAATAAATAGGTACCTAATAACCAGTGTTGTAACGTATCTAGTTACAAGTAACTAGATACATTTTCTAGATACTTTTTATGTATCTGTTTGTGTAACTAGTTACTTATCCCAATCTAGTAACTATAACTGTAACTAGTTACAAATTCTAAGTAACTAGGTGTGTTAAGATAAAAAGATACATTTTTAATTAAACTGCGACTATTATTTATTAAAAAAAAAATATTATAAAAAATAATTTATTTTAAATAAAATATTATAAAAAAAATAAAAAAATAATAAACATGTACATTTTTGTTGTCACTTTAAAATTCCCTTTTATTTCTATTTTAAATTTTTTAAAGCAAAAAATAATTTGTATGATCTTAAAGTATCTAGATACTTTTTGAAGGTAACTGTATCTGTAACTAGTTACTGCAATAAAATATGTATCTGTATCTGTATCTAGTTACAAATGTTGGTAAGTAACTGTAACTGTAGCTAGATACTGAAAATATTGTAACTGTTACAACACTGCTAATAACTGTCTAAAGCAGAGTTTAATATATTTCATAGAAAAAAGTGGCAAAATAATGAAATAAATTTACAAAATAATGAAATAAAATTTACAAAAAATAATAATATATCTAAAAGAATATAAAGAACTAGGCATTATACTAATGAAATGCATTTACGACAAAATATGATTATAATTATAGGTAGGTACTTACTTTATTTGTTTAAAAGCTCCAATGTTCAATGTAACCAACCATTCCACAAGATTCCTCTGCTTTGGAGTCCGTTATTAATAAATCACTTATCTAATATCAATTACAAATAACATAACAATAACATTGATTTTCAATAATCTAAATTTAAAAAAAACATAACCCGAAAAAAAGAAACGTCAAAAAATCAATTCTTCCTCTTCTCAACTAAAATTATAGATCGTGGCGCCATCTATCGTAAGAATCTTAAACTAAACACACTGGCAATCATAGAAAAAGCTGGCAACGTTGTCAATAGCCTAGTGACGTAATTAGGAGATTTTGTTTTGTAAATATCTCGAAAACGGTAAACTCAATTGAAATTCCGATTTCACAGAAATGTTTAAAATTACAAAACGCCTTGAATAAAACCATAAAAAGTATAGGTCAGAAAAAATTTAACTACCCCATTGTTAAAGAGCGTCCCCCAAAGACCGAGGGGTAAACCACATTAAAATCTTAGAGACCAACGTTCAATGTTAGTGGACGTTGTGTTGAGATTTTTTTCCTTATCAGTCGTTATCAATAAGGAAAACTTACTTAACCGGTGCTTAATCAGTGCTTAGCGACGCGTTGTATATGACTACCCTTGTTATTGTTATCCTTAGCCGTTAATTCCTAAGCGATTTTTAACTTAAAAAAATCAGTGGTTTACCCCTCGCCAAAGACGGGTAGGGACCTTTTTATTTAATCGTAGTGACCTACCGTCACAGAAATATTTCTGTGCCTACCGTAGAAAAAGAACCTACTATTGCATACAAGCCGGCAACGCTGCAAAAAAGCAGAACTACCAACAGAAGAAAAATATAACCAGTTCTATCAATTTTTATGTAAGTTTGTTACATCACCTCAGGGGGGTATAAGGGGAATTTGACAATAGGCAACAGTAAAATAAATCAAGCAGGCTTGGAAAACCGAGGTGGATGTAAACCATTGGTGGGTTTGACCATATGTTATGTGCCACATCATTTCCTTTGTTGTGATTGGTTGTTCACCAATCCGTTCTCTATCAGCTGTGGTAAATTACAAATGGCCGACAGCGTTGTTAAAGTGGTGTGTACGAAGTTTTATAATCCAAATTTTCTTTGTTTTAGGTAAGTAAACTTGTTAATTTCGGCTTTAACATTTTATTAGGTGTTTTTTTTCAAGTTTGAGTTAGTTGTAGCATCATTACCGCGTTTAAAATAAGAAAATACGTGTGATAAACCGTATCGGTTTTTTTCTCTATGTTTACCGAAAACACATGTTACATGTGACATGTAGTTACGATAAAACAAATAAAATTCTTTTTATGTAATGAAACTTATGGCAAAGAGTAAAGTAAAACAGTTTTTAACGTTTTTTTTCTCAACACTAGTTGCTGTTATACAAAATGTTAAATATACCTATAATCTTTGTCAAAATGTATGTTTTTGTTAAAATTATTTGATGTAGCTACGCGAAAACTGGACCTGGGTCCAGGGCCCCACTACATTGGCATTTGGTGGAGCAGAGGCTATTGAATGAACAGCCCCCTCATCGGTGGATCGGACGTAAAGGGACTAACAATTTGGCACTTCATGTATGGTCAACACATTCAACCGATCTCACAGTGTGTGCAGTCGCATGCGACTTCTTTCTCTGGGGCTTTATAAAAGAAAACGTTTATGAGCCCCAAGATTTGTAAAAGCTGAATACAAGAATTGGAACTGCCGAGTATCTACAAGATGTTTGCAGCTGGAAGAGGTCATATTAAACACTTGTAAGCATACAGTTCAAAACTTGATTATATTACAAATGTTTTGTGCTTTCCATGTTTTTTTTTACATAAATATAGCATTTTAAACTACAGGGTGATAATCTTTTACAGTATTTTTATAGTTATTTTATTTGAAGGGGTCAATGCAAGACGTGTCGTAAGTCACATTTTCAATTAAATTGTTATTCTGGCTTCATCTAAGAGTTTTCACATAAGTTGAAAACCAGGCAAACTCCCATTGAAGTAAATGCAAACTAAAGCACTTGGGCACATATTTCTGCCACTTTGAAAATACCACCTGAAACCTTATGTGAAACACTCTTAGATGAAGCCACAATGTAAATTTAATTGAAAATGTGACTTAGGCACTTAAGTGTAAGAATTCTTGCATTGACCCCTTCATTTGTTCTATCTGAAAGTCTGACATTTTTAATGTAAATAAATAACTAGACAATTCATAAGCAAACCTTTTAAAGAGTTTTTAATTTAATTATTTTTTGCTACAATATAAATTGATTTTAATTTAATTTAATTAATTTTAGCTTCTGCGATAATGGAACAATTAGACAAGATTTATCCTGCATGAAGAAAAAGAATGAAAGCTTTACTTGTCGATCCCAAACAGAAATATTTGACCAAATTTTTTTAATAATAGGTAGATATATTTTTTTTATTTAGAATACATTTTTAGTTTCAATTGGTGGTGTGTGAATATTTTTACCAAATAAATTATGTAGTAATATTTAATTCAAACTTAAAATTAAATATTTAAACTACATAAATAGTTTGAATTATTTGAATAGTTAAATAATTACAATCATAATCTATTCAAATAAGTTAATTAAGGGTTAATGACAAGTAAGTAACATTCTTTTTATTTAAAAATAAATTTTAAATTACAATTCCAATGTTCCATTTCTTCAATTACTATTGGAAAATTTTAATTTTCTAATTGAACCATTTAAAAATTTGAAACATTCAAACTATTCAAATAATTCTTGAGTTCAATATTCACACATCCATAATTACAATCCAAATATAAAAAAAGTAAAAGAAAGTACACTTTTAGTATTTACTCCAAATATAATTAAATTGTTTATTGTTAAAACAAGCAATCTGACATTTTTATATTACATACACTTCTGCTTTAAATTATTATTTTGAGGCAGACATATTTTATTTAGCAAGATACACATTATGATATTAAAAAAGGATATTTTCATGTTAAAACAGCACAAGTTCACCATTATTAGTTTTTAGATTTTTAAATTAAAAAATAAACAAAATTATATTTAGTTAGTTACTTAGCTTGTTTTTACAATAAACCATTCAATTATTTTTATGCTGGTAAAACAATTACCTTTAGCATAAATAAGTAGCATAAATATTGATACATTATTTTTATTTAATTTTAAACATTATTAGGTAATATCAATTTAAATTGATTTTAAAATTGGTATTGATTTCAGGTTTGGGTTTGTGTTAATGGAAGAAGCAGACAGGACTTGAATTTATCAAACTTCTTTGCAAAAGAACATAAAAAATATTAATTGCAGTTGAATATTCTTCATTGAATCAAGAAAAAGACGCAGGTTCAATCCATGAATCATGAACAAGAAAAAAGACAATTAATACTTAATATTGACCAGAAAGTTAAATCATACATAAAGATTTTAATTTTGCCAAATACATAATTACAATATTTTTAACATTGAGATTTAAGTGGTTCTATTGATTATTAATTTAAATTAAACCAATTTTATTAAAAATTCAATATTCCAAAGAATGTAATTTAATTTTTGGATAAGTAGGAATTCCTTTTTGCCAAAAATTCTATATTTTACAAAACTACAGTATTGTGCTTATTTTAAAAACAAATTATAATCATAATTCCTAAAAATTATAAGAGTATGGTTTGTAATAAGTCTAATTACCTATTGCATTAAACATTTTAGGCATTAGCCTTTTGGTTTATTCCAATAAAGAAATTTAATACTACATTAAGAAATCTGAAAATACCTATAGGTATACAATAAGTCAGTATGTATTACAAAATTATTTATTTTTATGAATTATTATTTATTTAAACTAATTTTAATTATATAATATACTCGAACTGTTTTAAAAGGTTGTTTTCTAATAAGGACCAATAAGTATTGAACTATTGTTTATCAAGAATTTATCAAATATTTTAATGGTTTGTAATATGTTTTAGAGTTAATTTGTTTATAAACCTTTGCATTTTTATTAAGAAATCTTAAAAAACCTATAAAAATTGTTATTATGTGACACAAAATTAAAATTTCTGAAAATTATCGCTGTAATCAAGCGATAATTGTCTTGTAGGCATATATAAGAGGGTAATTATCAATTTAATGTCATACTTTTTGATAAATTATACCTAAATATTTATAAATTATTATACATGTTTGATAAACCTTTTTTTAAATTTCACTAAAAGTTATAGAATAATTAACTTTGAATTTCTCCTCATTTAAATATTATTTGTTGGTTATAATTTAATTTAAAATTGAATTAAGTGTATATTTTGTTTAATATATTTATAAAAAAACAAAAATGTGTGTTTTTCCACTTAATTAGTGGAAAATAACCGAAAATTGTTGAAATTTTATATTTTTTGATTTTTAAAGAACAATATTAACTATATGGTTCTTTAAAAACCCAAAAAAATATAAAATTTTAACAATTTTCGGTTATAATTCCATATTTTAAATAAAAATTCAAAATTCGCGCCGCAGAAATCGTGTGGATATTTCCACCAATGGCTTACATCCACCTCGGATTTCCAAGCCTGCTAGATTTAAAAATCAAACAATGCCTGTTGCCACTTTTCACTACATCGCTTTTAATTCTCTTATGTTCTGTGTACATCACTATCGTCTTTGAATACAATAGGTATTAAAAAGCATAATAAAAAGTAAAATTAGTGAAACCACTATATTTTACACTAGATAAAATGTTTTATAGTTAAAATTCCCGTCAGCCGCTAAAACGAAAAAGTTGGTCACCAGATAGGATTTCAAACCGCTAGATTTAGCGGCCAAACCGCTAAATTGGCAACACTGGATAGAAAACAGTGGCTTCCCTGTTCAAACCGATAGTTTTTGTATAGGATTCACCTTCTTAACCTTCTTTATCTCTGATAGGATTGTATGGTGTTTCTATAGGGTGTATCGGTATGTATAGGAACCATAGTTGGGATTTATGGTTGTTCTATAGGGATATCCTTCCTTGATTTATTTGCCATCGGTCTCAATAGGAAAAATACACATAAAGGTAGAAATTAATTTTTCTCCTATAGGACCCCATAGGTCTTAACAAAATTTTGTGAAATGTTTTATGGTTGCTCTATAGGGATATCCCTATATATTCTTTCTTGAGTTATTTTCTATCGGTCTCAATACACAGCAAACGGAAAATTATAGAAGTGTATAGGATGACTCCGCGTTTGAATATCAAATCTTAAAGTTTTATCATAACTGTATTGAATCGTGCTTTGTTTTTATATTTTTCGGCTCTATACCTATGCACGACTATATTTAAAGTCAAACTCAATGGTGTCTTACAAAGGATACATTATTTTGATTTTCTATATTCAACAGAGGAGTAGAAACTCGACCCTGTTGAATGGTGCAGTCATTTATGTCTCTAGAAATTATTAAAAAAGGGTTCAGTCCAATGGTGCAGCAACTTCGGATTCCTATTCTCCTCAGAGACATAGAAACTCAAGCTTTTCGAATTTTACTGGCAATGATTTTCGTTAATGTCCCCGAGAATTATACAAAAACAGCGCAATGCAATATCGCAACGGTTTCGACTTCTCTTTACTCTACCAAGTTATAGAAACTGGAGTCTCTCTAATACTGTTCTAGTCAATATTTCTGAGAGTATAAAAAGAGGGTGTAATATTGCAAGAAGTTTTGATCTTTTGATGGATGCAAGTAGTTTGAATTTTCTCATTTCTGCATATGATTTTGTTGAAAATAGTTCCTTTCTTTGGTTCCTTTGTCTGATTTTTATTTACCGTAACAACTCAGGTATGTAAAGCGCAGAGGATATGATGTTAAGTATATTTATGTATTATATAAAGTACCAATATATATTTGTATTAAAAATTTCAGAGGTTATGTTGAAAAACTGATCGATATGGTATTAAACTTTAATAATTTAGTAATTAGGTCTGTTGGTAGACCATCTCCACTGGTATATGTTAGTTTTGTAATATTTAAATCTGGTTGATGAAAAAGTACACACCAGTGCAGGTTATTGTAGCACCTACGAACAAATGAATTAATGGCCCATTGGCAATTATTCCTTTAAGAAAAATATTCAACACAGCTTAATTAATTAATAAAATGAAAAAAATCATGTCGTATATAGTTTTTTTTAAGCATAAAATAATTTTTATATTAATACTAGTTCAAAAGTGAAATTACGACCTCTATACTGTGGAGAGTATTGAAACGCTCGACTGACGAATACAACCCTATACCGCAGGGAGATTTAGAAAACGATATTCAAACGTGGCGTCATCCTATACACCTCTATAATTTTTCGTTTGCTGTGTAGTGAAAATGTAAAATTTATGGTGTGCTTATAGGTAATTTCCTATAAATGTTCTATCAGGCTGTATCCGGAAAAAAACATGGACAAATGCACATATTGAGCCCGTTAGCGCCCGATAGATTATTTTTATGGGTCTCTGTGGGCCCCACAGTGTGGGGTATTTTAAGCAGGGTTGACAAACATATTTGAGCAATCGCGAATCAAAAAACTTGGTATCATGTCATTGCCAGATGTGAGCTTATTGGGAAATTTCTTAATAGCGCGTTGAATATCGACCTCAGTGATAGAATTAAGTTGAATTGAGTTTGTGTTAAATTCAACACTCACAACTTGATGCGAGCTTGGCAAGTAAACGGAATTAAAGAACTTAGCAAAACTATTAACAATTTCCAAGGGAGTAGTATACTCAGTGTTTTCATTATACATTTCACCAGGTATTCTTGTGAATTTTTTTTATTTTGTATAAAGTTCCAAAATAATTTACGTTCCTTGCAAATATTATTCTCAATATTTAATAAGTATTGTTTTTATTGGTGTGATATTTTTCTTTTACAAAATGTGCGAAGTCTTGAAAATTCAGCAAAGTAATGTTGATTCTGCGTACCCTATTGAAAATGCCATATAGAACCCATATTGAATCCGATAAGGAAACGTATCTGGTTCTATATGGTTTCATAGGTCCTATATGGAAAGTCCTGGTTTACATTACGGATTCTATATGGTTGAATATGGATTTCCATTTTAAAAATTTTCATATTCAACCATATAGGGAAACCTATCTGGAAATACATATAGAAGAGAAACCAGATAAATCCATATACAACCATATACATGTCTTTATATAGGTTTCTTTATAAAGACATGTATATGGTTGTATATGGATTTATCTGGTTTCTGTTCTATATGTATTTCCAGATAGGTTTCCCTATCTGGTTCTATAGTGTTTTAGAGTGTTTTTATCTGGTTCTATAATGTAATCTTCTATCTGGTTCTATAGTGAAATGCCTGTTTCAAATACCTATATTGAACCAGATAGAAACCATATAGAATCCAGATACGTGTTTTTTATATGGTTCTATATGGCATTT